AGCGCTTTGAGGGGTCCCGAAAAGCGCTATATAAATGCAATTCATTATTATTATTAAGCATTTTGCAATTTTGTCTAATTTTAAAAAGTTTAAATTTGTTCAGTATTGAACAGCAGAAATGAGGCTTTCTTGTCGGAAGTAAGTAAAAACAACAACAACAACAACAAACAGCAGCCGACACAGTAGACAGGAGGGTAATAAGTAGGGGTGGGTTTTGATGATCGATTTGGAGAGAGAAAGGGAGAGCTCTACAAGAAGTGTGATTTTATCGTGGTGGAATCAAAACAGCAAAAGTAAGAGGAAATTTGTGACGATGTTTATGAGAAGCAAAATATGAAGAGTAGTTTGGATCAACTTTGGCTGCTGGTTCAATCAATATTGTTTGAAGGGAGATAAAACCTGCAGCAAACCAGCGCAAAAAGGACGTAAACACAAAGCGCCGCCGACGCTTCAAAATCAGTGAGCTGTCGGCTTTCAGCCCAGCGGCCTGTCCGTGTCCGCGTACGTGCCATCGGGTGAGAAAGGCGACATCTCACTGATTCGGATGTGTTGGGTCTGCGTTTTGTGTTTATGTCTTTGTGCAGAATCCGTGTATCAGCTCTCATTTACTGTTTTAGCTGTTTGGTGGTTGTAGAATCTTTGTGAGGTTTAACCAGAGATTCTGGCGTTTCGGGCAAAATTCATTTATATTTAAAAATCGATTCAGGATTTTAATGAATCGATATCACGTTATCCAAGCCAAAATCGATTTTAATCGATAATCAAAATCCACCTCTAATGGGAACCACCACTGCGGTCTGCCAATCCAGAGGTACTGCCCCTGATCTCCCATGCAGCACTCCCAACAGTAGCATGTCAACCAAGACAGCCCTGCAACATCCAGAGTCTTCATGAACTCAGGGCAAACCTTTTAACCAGAAAGCCAGTTCTAGACTTTCCTGGATTGGGGGTGTGGGCTTGAATCCACAGAATACGAAAAGTTTAGCATGCAACTTTTCATTCCCCCTTCCACTTAGAGTTATTTGGCCAGCTGTACCATAATGTTAATATTTAATATTAAATAACATCAAATGTGAACAGCAGAAAATGTTGCCAATTTAAAAACCAAACAAAAACAAAAGTCTAAATAAATATTCCACTTATATATTACATTCTTCCACATCTTCTGCACCTTTTTTTTAATCAACATCTGTAAATCTTAGTACAGGGAAGGAGGCAGTGAGATCAGCAGCAGATCTCAACTTCCAGTCTGAAAGTTAATAAATATGTCAAAAGGAATTAGCTGGTGTAAGTTAGCGATGTGTTGGAACTGTGTACAATAGATTCCTAAATTGTGGTTGATGCAGTAAATGATGGGGAGATTTTATCCCCACCGTGAATTAAATGTATTGTAGAAGCAGGGGTGTCTGGATTGGGTGTGGGGGTAATCCCTGAATGATAATTTGAAGCTGGGGGTCAACATAAAAGGTACTATTTCAATCTGTGAAAATCATAGAATTCAATGCAGTACACATACTGCAACTACCACAGCCATGGCAATCAGGGG